GTTGGCAGCACGCCATTTCAGGCAGGGGAAAGGGTGCCCGTATGTGACCAATGAGGCACTGGTGGACATACACCACAACTTGGACTACAAGCTGGAGGGCAAGATCCTTGACCGGGTGCTTCGGTTCGAGGAGCTTCACGGTCCCGCACCTGCAATGGATCCGCGCAGGGACGAGGGAGGGGTGGCGGGGGCAGGACAAGAGAGGGGTGAAGAGGAGGTGGTCGACGTAGACAACGGCGAGGAGGGTGCGCAGGAAGCGCAGCCTGACCCGTCGATGAGGGACCGAGGGAAGGGCGTCGTTCACGAGCTGTGGGGTCAGCAGGGCCATTTCTTTAAGGGAGCGCACGTGCCGGCTCGCACTCAGGCGCATCGGGATGCAGAAGACACAGCGGCTGCTGTGGGGAAGAGAAAGGATAGAGAGGAGGGGGCAAGGCCAGGTGGGCAAAAGCGGCTAAGACAAAACACCATCACAGAGTCGTATTCTTCCAAATGGCAGATGGAGTTTAAGAAGAAGTTCTTGAGGGTAGTCTACAGTAATCGTTTGCCGCTCAACGTCTTCTAGAGCGAGCCATGGAAAGATTTAGTCAAACACTTCTGGGACTTGTCGGGGCCAGTGGAGGTTTTGTGGCCGTCGCACAACGAGATCGCAACATGGAGACGGTTGTCCGCACTGCGGATGATGTGGTGGGTGATCTCGCAGAGGTCAGGGCTCCTTTCTATGTGACGGGTGCCACCATCATGTCGGATGGCTAGAAGTCACGGGATGCCAGAAGAATCGTCAACTTCCTTGCCGGCAGGTCGCGCGAAGTGATGATGGTGAGGACAATGAACAGGGAGGGCGAGCGAGACCAGGCGCCTGATGTTTTGGCCCGCTAGATCAAGGTGTTTGATGACTTCCCTCCTCGCTTGGTGAATGTCATTTGCATGGACTCTTCCTCTTCGTACGTCGCTGTGGCAAAGATGTTGCAGGGGCCCCAACAGAGGCCAAAGATTCGACGGATCACGTGGATGTCGTGCGTAGTGCATGTCTGCAACAAAACGTTGTCATACATTGGCTTGTCAAGCCCGTGGTCAAAGGACGTCATTGTGCGGGGGAGAGCGGTGGTGCGCTTCATTAAGGAGCACGACGCCGCTCTACATATCTTCAGGGGGGAGAGCACGCAGATGGGACTTATTTATCCCTATGAAACACGATTCGCATCTGTGTTCGCCATGATGGAGCGTTTGCTGGCAGTCAGGTTAGCGTTGGCGAGGACGGTGGACGGCGACGGTTGGGGTTTGGTCCCCTGGGACAGTACCATCGCTCAACTGCCTCGGTGGGTAAGGTGGCAGGTGCGGCATGGTCCTTGGTGGGATAGCATGGGTGTGCTTGTCCGCATTATGGAGCCCGTGTACGACATGCGTCGCAGGTTGGACTGGGGAGGGCTGCACATGTCGCGGGTTGTGAAGTGGACGCAGGACGTGACACGCGAGGTCCAGGCACTTCCATCACGTGTTGCACACTTCATTATGCAGAAGGTGCAGGCTCGGTGCGATCACATGTTGGAGCCCGTGCACGCCGCTGCCCACCTTCTCTGTCCCAGTCGCCGAGACTTGAGGTACTACAAGGGAGTCGTCCGCGACTACGATGCGAGACTCGTGCGGGAGGCAGAGACGTACATCCTGACACAGACTGGGTTTAGTGTCGYGAGCCCTGATTACGAGGCTGCATGTGCCCAGTTGCGCGACTTCCACACATGGAGAGGGGGGATTGCGTGGGGGGGGGAGGGATGGAGACAGGGAGGCACAGAGGTGCACCGGCGACGTGGAGACATACGAGGCCGGTTGTTGGTGGTCGAAGTGGGGACAGTGCGCCCCGCAGCTGCAGGCCATCACTCTTCGTGTCATGTACATGTGGACATGTTCCTCTCCTGCAGAGAGGAACTAGGCCATCCACGAGGCTGTGCACACGAAGAAGCGCAACAAAGCGCAACAAGCTCGAGTTCGAGAAGGTTGCGAAGTTGGTCGAGATCTCGGCCAACTTCCGCCTTCTCTCTCACCAGCGAGCTGACTGTGGCTTTGCATTGCCATGGATGGTCGACGAGTCCATGTTGGATATCGAGGGAGGCATCGGGACTCAGCCGGCGTGGCAGGGGACGGACCCGAGAAGGTCGCAGGAGGACCGAGAGAGGCAGAGACGGTCGTGGACGCGAGACCCGTGTGGGTCGAGAGCTCCTCCTGGAGAGGTTGGAGAGGTTTTTGAGACTCGGGCTGCCATGTTGCGCCCCTACCCCAGAGATGACGACAGTGATGACGAAGGCCCTGAGGGGGGGGAGGAGCGGGCGGGGACCTGCTGACCATCCGGCCTTGCAGGAGGCCGATGAGTGGAGCGACCCGAAGGACGTTCGTAGACGTAGCGGTGGGGGCAACCTTTTCGGTGGAGGTGACGGGAGCCCTCTTGAGCGAGAGTGGCCTTCATCTCCTGGACCCCATGGGCCCCAGTCTGTCGATACGCAGGCGGTGCACGGATTTGCGCGTTCTAGGGGGGCAGAGTCAGCTTGCGGTGGCGGCGTTCCTGGGCAGCATCCCGGACGTATTCGCAGCGGGATGGCTTCATCCGGCGTTGTTCCCCCTCCGTCGGGGGATCTTCATCGAGGTTCGCCCTCCAGAGGGTGACTGCATAGATTGGTGAAGGGCCCGAGACGACGATTAGAAGAGAGATTGGCGGGGGGCTCTCTAGCGAGTGAGATAGATGTGGAGAGTATGAGTGCTGCACGTAGTGCTTCGTTTTCAAGAGATGGACATAGTCCAGTTGAGGAGGCGGTTCGGACAGATGGTCTTGGGGGGGGTTGTGAGGACAGGATAACGGTGGGAGTGCCGCCCGGAGAGAGCGATTATCGGGGGGACTTGAGTGTCGGCATGCAGGCCATATTAGAAGAGATCACCATCATGCAGCCGGAGACGTTCACCCCTGCCATGCATGGAGAGTTAGGAGCGTCGCCAGCGGAGGTTCAGGTTGATGAGGATGCCACACCCCCTGGAGAGACATCAGCAGAGAGGTTGGACAGGCTCGACAGTCGTCGAGCTTGCCTTCTAGCTCGAGCTGACCCCAGGACGCAGGAGTTGGCCCGTCTAAGTAGCGGAGGAGCGACAGAGGCAATTGGGGACGTTTATGGAGATGCCCTCTGACGCGCATGCGGCTGCCCACGTCGATTCGATGACAGAGGTTCGCGATGGGACGCAGGGGGAGGCAGCTATACTCGAGGCAGCTTCAGCAGGGACGCAGGGGGAGGCAGCTGCAGGCGAGGCGACCGCAGCAGGGATGCAGGGGGAAGCGACCAGACGCGAGGCAGCTGGAGGCGAGACGGGTGGAGGCGAGGCAACTGGGATGCCGTGGGAGGTGCAGGGGTTGCCCGAGACCGGGGTCGCTGCACCAGACGACTCGCGTCTTGTGCTCGACCAGCCTCTTCATGACGGGCGGAGGACCGAGCATGCTTTGCGTGAGACCGAGGACATGCCTCCAGGTCTGGAGGACATACACACGGGTCAGTCAATGGGCGTTGATGATGATGCACCATTGGCACAGGCAGATAGGATATCGCCGTCCATAAGGGGGGGGGGGAGATGTTGCGGGGGACAGTATAGTTGGGGGTGTAGAGGAGCAAGTCCATGGTGATCCGGTGTCCTAGGTTGGGGGCGGTCGCCATGTAGAGGTTGACAGCGGTGTCAGACATAGAGAGGAGGCGATCTGCACCGCTGATAGGGACAAACACGACGCGTCATGGAGTTTGGTGGTCCGCACGGCCGTGGGGGCGATGGTGCCACATGAGGCACCGTTTCCTATAGATTCGATGCGTTGTGCAGGTGGTGTCGCCTCGATCGTAGAGCGACATGTAGGCAGGGGCATGTGCATGCCTCCGATCCCCCCTTTCGCACCATCTAGGGAGAGGACACAATCAAGGTTTGTGCTTCAGCCTCGCGACACTCTTGCATTCGGTTGTATGACCGCCGAGGACTTGGAGGCGCAAGACACGATGGATTACACCGGGATCGACATCGGCCGACCGGACTTGTCTTGGGCGTCAGCCAGCCCGAGCTTACCATCTGGAGGTTCTACTGCAGCGCCCTCTCACGGGGGTGCAGGGCCGTTGTCACCCTCGTCCGCAGATGTCCACACCCCGACCAGTACAGCGGCCGCTGACGTATGGTTTGAGAAAGACCTCCATCATTTTAGAGGAGCCCGAGGTTGGTCGACGAGCGAGGCAAGCCCGACATGTGTCGATCGATCGACGCCAGGAGGGGGAGACTTCGGGGGCAGACGGTCTGCCTATGCGCCGAGAGTCCGACATGTTGATTTGGCATCCGCAGGCGTCAGACCAACTAGAGGCAGGAGAGTTATCATGGAGGACGACCCCGACGACCCTCCTGAGCCTTCCATTGCTGCTCGTGGCGAGCAATGCTAGAGAGGTCGACCGCGTGGCACTGGTCGGACACATGGACGAGCTTCGCATCGGTCTGGGCAGCGTTCGCCTGCGAAGGAGGATCGTTGACTGTGTACAGACTTTCGTTTCCTTTCTTTCTTTTTTCGTGTAGTTTAGTTTTTTGTTCTCCATGACCAACATAGCGTTCGGTGATTTTCCGCAGTTCACTGTTCACACTTCTTTATGTTCGGCACTTAGACATAGGCAGTGGGATCGGTCTTCGACATTATATGCCATATGTTTTTTATGTTGTCCATGCGACATTGATTTGCATTTTTTTTTTTTCTGTTTCTTTTTTTTGGTTTAACCACAGGATCATTATAGCGGTTCTCTATCACCAGCATAGTATTTCGGTATTTTATGTAGATGACGCGGGCGTTTAGGGAGAGTGAGGGGATGACGAGGGGGAAAGGGTGTGGGGTGGGGTGGTGGGGTTGTGGTCTAGGCGGGCCAACGGGGTGTGGGTGTTGGGGCTGAGCGGTTGGGGGAATGGGGTATTTGGGGTAGGTGGGCCGACGGGGTGCGGGTGTCGGGGTGGAG